CTATGAGATATGTGGCAAGTGTGGGGGAACTCACGGGTTTGCTTGTCACAAGTTCAGGTGTTTCAAATGTGGAGAAAGAGGGCATGTGCACCGAGATTGCAAGAAGGATCAAATATGTTTTCATTGCCACCATTCGAGTCACTTCAAGTCCAACTGTCCTGCATGGGTAGCGGAGGGGGTGCAGGCCCCAACACCCATCGTCCCACAAAAGGTCAAGATTGAGCCGCAAGGAATCATTGGTATGTATGTTGAGCCCCGGTTCTGTACTGATATTTATATATAAAATAAGTATGTTCCTGTCCAGTGTTGTATCGTTGGACCATAAATCTTTTGTATGATAGAATTGTTAGAACCATATTAGAATTTCTACAATTTCTTTAGGATGGGGTTCAGTCCTAGGCGCTTCATATTTCAGAGGAGTATGGATCACTCTTGCTAGGTTTGAAGCTGTTACATCGGGAGGCTTCCAATAATCCCATCTAAGGTTTAGGGATCCCCTAGGATTGACTAAGTCATCATTAAAGGATTTTTCATATGCCATTTTGCATACAGTGGGTCGTGTTTAGAAGAGGCATGAGCATTCCGCATGAGAGACCAGCAGTCGGTCATATTTTTAGTGGTATAAGCGAGAATTCAAGGAATCCGCAGGGTAGGCATGTCGAGTTTGAATGCAGGATGTATAGTGGTGTTCATGGTCTCTAGGTAGTTAGGGATTGGTTTGGTCATGGGTGTAAGATCAGTAGTTTTAAAGTTCACACCTTCGAAGCGAGGTCAGTTGCAGATTACATGAGAATTGCTCTAAGCGTAAGTAAGTGGTTGATCGGATTGGGTACTTGTACGATGTTGAGATATTGTTCCTCATCAACAGATTAGTCGCCAAGGACTTGTAGTGGATTCAGTGAGAAGTGCCTTAGGATCTTGAAATTCGTTGAGGTGCTGGGAATGATCATCCGGCCTTGGAATGTATAAACACTAGGTTTGGCTGGTCAAGGAAAGCTAGATGTTGTAAAGCTCGGGTTTCCGATTGCTACCATTCGTAGGCATTGAGCAGTGGTAACGTATTACACTTAAGTAATGGGAGAGTGTTGTCCGCATGGGTTATTTTAGGCATTGGGATTGTCAACAAAATCGAATGGTATCTTTTGGCGAACTTTGAATACATCAATCCTTCGGCAGGTGAGTTGCTAATTGATGATCTGCCCGTTCCGATTACGGGTTATAGTTCTATACCATGAGCTGAGGTGGCTTAATGATTTGGAGTTGTAGCATGGGAAGTACTTGGCATTATTGAGCTCATTGAGATTTCGGGAAATGTTCATCTGGTTTTGGAATATGTGTGGTCGCTAAGGTTGACTAATAATGATATGCTAGTTCTTGCAAGCCCTGGTCGATGACGAGTTGAATTGTAAGGTTGTGAGATGGATCAGGAATCCATCGATTTTGGTAGATTGGAAGAGAACAATAGGATCCAAGTGGGGGAGAATCGTTTGGTCTTAAAAACTTTGTTCTTCAAGCGTGCATTGAGCATTATATTCCATGAGACTGTATCTCTATCAGTCACCAACTCAAAAAACTTTGTGGCATAATCAAAAGCATGCCATTTCACATAGAAATCAAGTATGGAATTATGTAATGTCGTGTCTAAAAAACCCTTTTTCTCAATATCCATCCAAGAATCGTTTTACCCATGTTAAACTCCTTTGCACCTCCACAACACTTCAAAACACTCGAAAATGTAAACTGATTTGAGGTAATAAGATCATTTTACAATAATTATTGATGATCATAACTTGAATCATAACAATAGATAACCCTTATATTGGAATGCTTTATATTATTTGAATTTATTTTTTAATACGCTTCATGCTAGTTGTAGTAGTTTTTAAAATTCACCCCCCTATTGTTTTTATTTCGTTTAAGTGATATTCATACTTGTAATTGAACATCTTTGGTATAATTTTTAGCACGTTTCCCTGAGGACACAAACATTACTTCCATTCACACTAATCCTTAGTGTGTCTAAGTTGGTTCATCTTTTATTATATTTTGATAATTTATTTTGTTGGATTCGACACCCCAACACTATGGTATGTCAAAATTAAGACTTTGGTCAAAAAAGTTTTGGAGTTGCACCACTGGTCTAAAATAAGTTTTTTTGTTGCGAATTTGGTGTAGTTTACTTTGAAAATAATTAAAATGACGAATTTACACTTATTATTTTATTTTTCAATTTCATTTTAATACAACAGTTAAAAAAATTAAAAAGGAAAAATAAACACAACCTCAACCCCAACCCTCCTTTATTTTCCAGCATCTGCTCATCTCCTTCACCACCACCAGTGATGGAGGCTTCTGACGAAGAGGGTTCCGACGACTGAGAGTTTTGATCTGAAAACCCTCGTCGTCGACGAGGTCGAGTTCAGCGCTGCCGTCGATTTTCTGATCTACTTTGTTATCGCCGCCACTACCGTAACTCGCCACCAATAGAAACCCTAACCCTGTTACAACGTCGTGTGGGAGGGAGGACGACAGATCCATAGATTCATAAACATTCCAGATCTGGTGCAGCTTTAAACCTTAGCAACTCGAAACCATTGCCACTCCACGAACATGGCGACGATCATATGACATACCCCGATGATCCTAGGGTTTCTGGCGACGTACATCTGATAAAGGGGGCGATCGACGAAGGACGAACTGAGAAAAGGGACAAATTGAGTCGGGTTTGCTAAAAATCGAGAAATCGTTTGCTAGATCTAAGAAATCATTTTTTTGGCGAATAAGAAACCCTCTGAAGGACGACGTAGATTTGCAGCGTCGTAAATGGTGGGTGTTTGAACGTCGATCTGTCTCTTCCCTTTCCGACGAGTCGTCGAGCTACATATCTGAACTTCAAGAAGACTGCTACCGTTAAAGACGTTTGAACGTCGCCTAGGTATGGTTTCCGGCGATGGCGGCGACAACGACAGTGGTTTTCGGCGATAATGACGGTGGTTCGGCGATAACGTCAGTTTCCTGTGAATTGCGAATCAATAGAGAAAGATAGATTGAGACTCGAGGGATGTTGGTTGAGGTGGTGTTTATTTTTTCTTTTTGTCTTTTTTAACTGTTGTATTAAAAGAAAAATGAAAAACAAAATAAGAAGGGTAAAATCGTCAATTTAAGTATTTTCAAAGCAAATTGGACAAAACTCATAACAAAATCTTATTTAAGCAAGACAAAATTGCAAAAATGGTCCCTGTGGTTGACAAAAAAATGTGGTTTTGGTCCAAAAAGGTTTGCTGGTGCGTGAGTGGTCCAATTCTGGATCTTTTTAGTAATTTTGGTCCCTGTACACTTAAAAAGACATTTTTGCCCTTATAATTAACTTTTTCCTTTTTTATTAACTTGAAACAAAAAAAAGAAAATAAATAAATAACCAATAAACCACTTCCCCCCCTCCCGTTTTCATTTTTATCAGGAACAGAGAAGCCATTCATCAATCTCTACCCTCCGGCGAACCCTCTGTCTGGAACAACAGCCGGCAGCTGCATATCTCATCAGGAAACAACTGCTATCATCGCTATCTGATCTTTCACCCTATTCTATCTCTCATGCGGTTCGCCCCGATCACATTTGCCATAGATTTTGTTGTCGACGGAGCTAGGGTTTGCAAACCCTAAACCACAGAACTGGTGGTCAAGTTAGAGTACCTTGTGACCATCATCAGCGCCTCCAAACTCGAATTTCAGTCCACAATTTTCGAGTACTCTTCTGCCCAAGCCTTAGGTTCCAGTTTATGAGGAAATCAATCTACCCTTCATTGCCAGTTGTGTTGTTATCTGAAGGAGATGATGATGATGTGTGAAGATGGTGGATAATCATGTTGGTATTGGATCTCGACTGATCAGATGGTGGAGCAAGGTTGATGATGGTGGTGCAATCGTGGATTTTAGGGTTAATGTGATGTGGATTTTAGGGGCGACGAATCTCATCAACCACCACCGCCACCATTGCTATGAAAAACCACCACCGCTCATCTGGTTCTCCATTCGAAATAAACCTAACACCGGAACCAATCATGTTCATCCAAACACCAATTAACCCACCTCTATTCCCTCCCTATTTATCCCTTCCTCCAATTTCGACGGATAATTTGATTTATAGAACCATTTTCGATTTTTGGATCTTGATGTGATGTCGGTGGCTGTTAGTGGTGGTATAATGGTGGTTTATGGAGGTTCCAGTGAAGGTGATATAATAGGTGTTGAAGGAGAATGACGGTGTTCCAGTGAAGAGGTCAGCGGTCGACGGTGGTGGTGACCGGATGGTGGTTCCAAATATTAAAAAGAAATTAGGAGGGGTGGGGTGGGTAAGGGGTTTTTTTTTGGTTTTTTAATTAAATAATAATAAAGTAAATAAAAGAAATTTAAAAAATATATATTTGAGGGCATTTTCGTCGTTTAAAGTAGGATATGGACTAAAACCACAAAAAATGACAACCATAGGGACCAAAAACACACGAGGTATCCAAAATTGGACCACTAATGCACCACCAAACTTTTTTGGACCAAAGTTACAGATTTTTGACAACCATAGGGACAATTTTTGCAATTTTGTCTTTAAGCAAATTGTACAAAACTAGTAACAAAAATCTTATTTTGGACTGATGGTGCAGCTTCAAATTTTTTTGAACCAAAATCCAAAATTTTTACATACCACATTGACATTTCTGCAATTTTATCTATTAGTTCACATATTTGTCAATTTTGTAATCATCCATTCAATATGTTAGAGAAGTTCCGAGTAAATTCTATTGATAATTCATTGATTAGTGATTAGATTACCATACCAGTTTACCATCACCCGGCGTTGTTACATCCGGATCTGGTCACCTACATCACAGGCTGCCAGCGCTCCTCTATTTCTCTCTCCTAAATATATTCCGTGTCTAACGTCTCCGTTAATCATTCACTGACGGTAACTCTATTGTCGGAGAAAAGAAACCGCAACGAAAGTCGATGAACTCATCCAAAACGCGCCGGAAAGTCGTCGTAGCTTCGGCGGAGAATGGGGACTCTGGCGACAAGCTCGACCAGCTCCTCCTATCCTCCGCCATATCCAACGGAGAAGACTTATCCCCTTTCATCCGCAAAACCTTCGCCTCGGGTAAGCCCGAAACCCTACTCCACCACCTCCGTCATTTCTGCAGATCCAAAGAGGCTGAGATCGAAGAAGTCTGCAAGGTTCATTATCAGGACTTCATAATGGCTGTCGATGACCTCCGTTCTCTTCTTTCCGGCGTCGAATCGCTTAAATCATCCATCTCCAATTCAAACTACCAGTTACAGTCTGTTGCCGGCCCTCTCTTAACATCTCTCGATTCTTTCATAGAAGCGAGAAATAAGTGCCAAAACATATCCCTTGCGATCGAATCTCTTCGAATTTGTGTGCGATTAATGGAGCTTTGCTCGCGGGTGAATTTTCATCTATCGAAGAATAACTTTTACATGGCGTTGAAGTGTATTGACTCGATCGAGAGAGACTTTATACAAAAGACGCCGTCGTCCACGCTCCGGAGGATGCTCGAGAAGAACATCCCTGCGATCCGAGCGCACATCGAACGGAGAATCAGCAAAGAGTTTGGAGATTGGCTTGTTGAGATCCGTACTGTGAGCCGGAACTTGGGGCAAGTTGCTATCGGACAAGCGTCTGCCGGTAGACAGAGAGAAGAAGAATTACGGATCAGGCAACGGCAAGCCGAGGAGCAGAGTCGCCTGAGCGTGAGGGACACTGTTTATGCTCTCGAAGAAGAAGATGACGACGGTTACTCTATAGGAAACGAAGGTAACGATGTTTATGGGAACGGCGGTAATGTTAATGTCGCTCTAGGTTTTGATCTGACCTCATTGTATAGATCCTACCATATCCATCAAACTCTTGGGCTTGAGGATGGATTCAAAAAGTATTACTTCGAAAACCGGAAACTACAATTAACTTCGGATTTTCAGGTATCTTCCATGACACCTTTTTTAGAATCTCATCAGACGTTTTTCGCTCAGATAGCCGGATTTTTCATAGTTGAAGATCGCGTTTTAAGGACCGGGGGTGGATTGATAACGAAAATGGAAGTAGAAAATCTGTGGGACACTGCTGTTAGCAAAATGTGTTCTGTGTTAGAAGATCAATTTTCTAGGATGCGAACAGCCAATCATTTGTTACTGATCAAGGATTATGTGAGTTTGCTTGGTGTTACTCTGCGGAGGTATGGATACTCAGTTGATGCTTTGCTTGATGTGTTAAACAAGCACAGGGATAAGTACCATGAGTTATTGTTATCAGATTGTCGGAAACAAATTGCTGAAGCTGTTGCTGCAGATAAGTTTGAGCAGATGTGGATGAACAAGGAGTATGAGTATTCTATGAACGTTCTTTCTTTCCAGATACAAACTTCTGACATTGTACCAGCTTTTCCTTACATTGCTCCATTTTCATCCACTGTGCCTGATTGTTGTCGAATTGTGAGGTCCTTCATTGAAGATTCTGTTAGTTTCATGTCTCATGGTGGACAGCTTGATTTCTATGATGTTGTGAAGAAATACTTAGATCGGCTTTTGACTGAAGTCCTGGATGATACCCTTCTAAAGCTTATCAGCAGTTCAATTAGTGGGGTGAATCAAGCAATGGTTGTTGCAGCTAACATGGCTGTTCTTGAACGAGCCTGTGATTTCTTCTTCCGCCATGCTGCAAAGCTTTCTGGGATCCCTCTTAGGATGGTGGAAAGAAGTAGGCGGCAGTTTCCCCTGACCAAAGCACGTGATGCAGCTGAAGAAATGCTGTGTAGCTTGCTTAAAAAGAAAGTTGATGGTTTCATGACATTGATTGAGAATGTGAATTGGATGGTTGATGAGCCACCTCAGAGTGAAAACGAATATGTGAATGAGGTGATCATCTTTCTGGAGACACTTCTTTCCACTGCACAACAGATATTACCTGGTCAGGTCCTGAAACGAGTGTTACAAGATGTTCTTTCCCACATCTCGGAAACAATTGTTAACTTTTTAGTTGGTGAATCTGTGAAAAGGTTCAGTTTGAATGCTGTGATGGGGATTGATCTAGATATCAAATTGTTGGAATCATTTGCTGAAAACCAAGCTTCTCTTGTATCTGAAGAAGAAGCTAATCAGCTGAAGAAAGCACTTGTTGAGGCAAGGCAATTAGTTAATTTGCTTCTCAGCAATAATCCAGAGAATTTTTTGAATCCGGTAATCAGGGAGAGGAGCTATAATGCTTTGGATTACAGAAAAGTAGGGATCATTTCAGAGAAACTAAAGGATCCTTCTGAGCGACTGTTTGGAACTTTTGGATCAAGAGGATACAAGCAAAATCCAAAGAAAAAATCCCTAGACTCTTTAATTAAGAGGCTCAAGGATGTCAACTAACACCCTGTGTCTACTCTACTTGCTTCAAGATTCCCAGGTATCTTTCTCTTTCCCTTATTTCATATAGTTTACTTTTTTTTTTGGAACTTTAGCTTTTCTTACCAGTTGCTTGAACATACCTGATTCTTGTTCTGTATGCAATGGAGAAAAATTCCTTGGCTTTTAACACACTTCTCATTGGAGAATATTCTACAATAGTGATATACTAAATTGTCACTTTTTTTATTAAACTTCATTTTTAGTGCATTTATAACCACTTTGAGGAAAATGAAGGGGTCAACCGGTTGTGCCATCCAATGGGACAATTTATGTCCACCTGGCACTGGCATGGCGCCCACCCACGTGTCATGCAACTGTGGCAATTTGATAAAAATAAAAAAGTAAAAAGTAAACTTTTATCATACATAAATAAATTATTACATATTTTTAGCTTAGATGAGTTGCAGGCTTCTAACTGTTATAGATGTATCATGAACTCAGGTATCACTTGAAGAGATCTCAAGGATTGATGTTGATGCAGATGATGGTTCGGAGTAATTCATATTTGTTGGTTGTGGTTGTGGTTGTGTGATTAATTTTGTTTCTTGGACTAGCCCCAGTATAAAAATGCGCTCATTAATAGGTTGTAAGTAAAGTTAAAAAAAAAAAAAAACAGATTTGTGTCAAATTCTTTATTCTTATATGCATCATTAGTAATGAACTAATATCACGAGTTACTTGTCTGTTAAAGTTAAGCTAATTACATGTTTTGCCTATAACTACTTTGTTAACAATAAATGTGCAACTTAGAATCCGACAAATTGCCCACTAGATGCTTCTACGATTACAAAGATGCTCCAAAGGATATGCCTTATGCTTCCAGATAAGTTAATCAATGTCTAGCTGTTTGAGGAGACAACTTTATAACAATTATATATGATTATTGACAAATTACGACTTCTACTGTCTCTCAATCCAGTACATTCTAATTAAACAACAAAATTAATTCAGGGAAACTAACATGACCCATAACATAATTAAAATAGTTTTTGAGAACTTTTATCATTTATGTATTATGTTACTTTGTAAATTTTAAAAAAGGATGCCCACCAGTAATATTTCATTTGCTCTTTGGGTCACCAAGGTTTTGTTTATACTCAACAGACCAATAAACAATCTTTTTGGGTTCTAATTATACCATTGGAATGAATTTCAACCGAATAAACTGATATAATTCTGTGTCGTTCAATGTAGCATTTAATATGACATAAATTGTTCACTTATGTCTGTCTGAAGATGACATGGGGTCTATTGTGACATCAACTAGAACAAAATTGTATTGTTAAAAATCTACTCTAATGATGTAAAGAACCTAAAAAAAGCTTGTTGACATGTTGAATCCTATTAAAAGATAAATGACTTGGGAAAACAAACTAGATTATTGATTGTCATTTCGTCATATTAAATGATAGCTTCCAGTTAATTTTGTCAAACATACTTTCAAAACACAAAAATACAAAATAATTTAACTATTCATTTTGTGGATAAGTCGAAAGTGTTATTGGTACAAACACTTGGTATCTATAAGCATTTAGATAAAAGAAAATAAAATGTTTGTCACAGAAAATCATATATCTAATGATTTAAAGAAATAATAATAATATATTTAATTGAGAACAATGTTATTTAACTAAAAAAAATAGAAATAAGATGAATACACGACAGAAGTAACTCTAATTATATGGATGAAGTCGAGACAGAAACGCAAGGAGTTGATGAGACCAAGATGAGGTCAGATCTTCTCTGGCGGATTACCAGTTCATCTCCTCCGCCAACTCGCTTTCTTCTTCTATCATCATTCTTCCTGCTTCTCCACTTAATTTCTTCCACTGCCTCCGACACGCCTACAGCATACGATGAGCTATTGGAGTACGATTTTCCGGTTGGCCTTCTTCCGAAAGGCGTCACAGGCTACGATCTCAACAAAAAGACCGGAGAGTTCAAGGCATACATGAAAGAGACCTGTTCTTTCAAAATTCAGGGCTACGATATCAAGTACAAGTCAACGATTAGCGGCGTGATAGAGAAAGGGAAGCTGAAAAATCTTAAGGGGATAAACGTCAAAATACTGGTGGTGTGGTTGAACATCGTGGAGGTGACTCATGTCGGCGATCAAATCAATTTCTCAGTCGGAATCCTAGCGGCCGGATTTGAGTTGAGTAATTTTCTGGAATCACCACAGTGTGGTTGTGGATTTGATTGTAATGATATGGTTTCGGGTTCGGATCACAAGTTTTTGATGTCTTCTTAGTGATCTGAGTTTGTCCATGGCTGTGATGGCAAGTGCGCAAATAATTCCAAGGACCAAGTTTGCATCATGAATTGATAATCGTAAATTGTATTTGATTACATGTTTCCCAAATAATTGTGTCAAATTGAACAAATTGTCGTGGAAACCGATGAATTGGCTTCTAAATCCAGAAATTTCAATTGATTAAGTCCCCTGTGAATAATTTGTTGAGGCATAGTTTTTGATCTTTTAAGAAACTGAGTTAATGCACATTGACTGTGTGAGTAGGACTCAAAAGAGGATAAATTGTGTGGGTGAAGGAATATTATTTAGAAAGATAAAGAAACCATGAAATGTTAAGAGAATAGGAGAAAAACAAAACATGTGAGTGCATGTGTGTGAGTAAACTGTGAGAAATCTTGACCATGGAGCCATACCTTTTGCTAATGACATCCAAGAACTCCATACGCCATAATCAAGAACATAGCATGAAGAAAGGTTTCAGGGAGAGAAATCAAAGAAAAGATATTAAAAAATGAGGAACCAGTCTTGAATCAAGACATAAAGAAAGAATCCAGATAAGGAGATGCAATCATTGACCACATTATGTAGAAGATGTGTTCCATCGAAGAAATGAAGTCGATGATGATTGTTGTGAGTGCTCTTTAATTGAAAAAGAAAGGGGATTATGGTAATTGAAACACCCTTGCTAGGATAGTTTGAAATACAATTTAAAAACCATTTGATTTTTAATAAAACCAATTGAAAGTTTTAATTGCTGAAAATCATATAGTCTCATAGTTTAAAATAAAATTTAAAAATACTTTAATATATTTTTGCGCGGAATTAGATCCGTTCGTACCAAAATATAGAGTTTTGGTTAAAAGCGCGAGATAATAATCAATTTAACAATTGTCACAAGTTCAAATGCAACTTCACAAATCGAGGCCTTTAAAATATTCTCGCTATCTTCTAATCAACTCCTAAATCTTCAACCAGAACACAAGTCAAAATAAGTTGGACAATGAAATTGTCTAATTAGAATACATGAGATTGACTAATTTTAAGCAAGAGATAGCAACCACAATGGTATAGAATACTAAGCCTCAAGTAATCAAGACAAAAAAGTATATGCAGCCGTATCAAAGGCGTGTTCGGTACACAGCTTTTAGGAGCTTCTGACTTCTAGCTTTTAAGGAAACGCTAGTAAAAATAAAAAGTCTCGTTCGGCGACAAGATCATTTAGCTTTTAGGCTAAACAAAACGTTCCAAAATCAAAAGCTACATGGAGTAGCTTTCAACAAAACGCTCCAAATCAAAAGCTACCCGCTACCTGCTACCAGCCACCCGTTACCCGCCACCTGCTACCAGCTAGTTTTGCCGAACACGCCCCAAATCTAAGGATGTATAATCTGTAAACCAAAATCAAGAATTTAGTAACTGGTAAATTCTACCTAAAGAAAGTAATAAAAAATTCCAGCAACTAGGGTTTAATAACCCACAATCTATAACAAGAGAACAAGTATTCCATAGTTTAAAGCAAATGGATAATTAATCATGCAAAATATTTTAAAGGATTTACATGCAAAAAATAGAAAAATAGAGTTTTGAATAAAACTTTCTAATAGTTGTTATATTCCATTTTGTACCACGTTTTTTTCTCCTTTTTCGCTTGTTGGATTACAAATATTATTCTACAAAAAGCAACCAACATCCATTACTCCATGCAAGTCTTCAAAATTAAACATCATCATATCTCCCATTCTCCAACTCTCAAATGTCTTCTCCGGCGTCAATACTCCCTTTTCTCCTCCTCCCCCTTCTCCTTTTCACCTCCACCGCCATTGCAGTCGTCGAGACGCCCACCGTGTACGAGGCTCTGCAAGACTACGATTTTCCGGTAGGTCTGCTTCCGACAGGCGTAACATCATACACCCTGAACAAAGATACCGGAGAATTCGAGGTCAAACTTAGTGATACATGTGAATTCTCCGTCTCCGGCTACGATCTGAAATACAAATCAACGATCAGTGGAGTGATCAGTAAAGACAAACTGACGAAGTTGAAAGGGGTTAGTGTAAAAGTAATTATTATATGGGTGGATATAGTGGAGGTTACTCGAGATAGCGATGACCTGGATTTCTCCGTCGGAATATTGTCAGCTGGATTCGACGTTGATCAATTTGAGGAGTCGCCGGAGTGTGGTTGTGGGTTTGATTGCGATAGTTTAGAAAGTAATTAATGGTGAGAAGATGAATATGAAATATCGAAATTGCCGACGAATCTTTTGGATTGGTCACTGTAAAGTGTAAACGCTCAAGAATTAAGGAAGGGTGCATGGAGAGGGTTAAAAATAAGGGGTTGGCTAAATCGACATCTCATTTTACCATTTAGACATCCTATATAATTTTTTACAAAATAAGTGATTTTATTTGATGTCGATCTTTTCTAAAAAATAATTTCGGATTTAATGTATATACTCTAGATTTCGACCTCTGTTTACATGCATGTTTTTCATAATTTTTTTAACAATTTAATTTAATTTAATTTTATATTTTTTACTCACCATTCTTATTTTTAAGACCGAATATTGTAATCTTTTAATACAAAACAGTAAGCTTATAAGATTTTAGGTGATATTATATTTATTTATAAAACCATTTTTTTTTGTAAAAAAACTTGAATTAATAAAATTTCATTCATAAGTACGTGCTTAAAGAAATGATGGTTAAAAATAGAGTGGCCACATGAGTTTTGTGTGACAACTAACAAGAAAGTCCCACTGAAACTAAAGAGAAAATTTTATAGGATGACTATAAAACATGATTTGATGTATGGATCTGAATGTTGGTCGATTAAGAAGGAGCACGAGAGGAAGATGGAGGTAGCTGAAATAAGGATGTTGCGATGAACTTGTGGTACGACACTATTGGACATGATCCCACGCACAACAATTAGGAATTCGCTCAAAGTAGCTTCAATCATTGAAAAATTAAGGGATACAACATTGTGGTGGTTCAGACATGTATGTAGGCGACAACCTCTGTTAGGAGGATGGATGCACTCAATGTTAAGGGTGTGAGGAGAAGAGGAAGACCAAGAAGAAAATTGGAAGATAGTATGAGGATATACTTGAAAATGTTACCTTTTACCAAGGACATGATCTTAGGAAGGAGTAGAGGCGTAAAATTAGGATAGTTGAGTTGTATAGTAGGATATTGACTAACTTCTTTTTTGTTCACTTACCGCCCAGTTTCACATCTCTTTAGTTTCACATCTCTTTCAGTGTTGTTTCCGTCAACCTTTGTTGCTAGTTTTTTGCTTTATGCTTTTTATGTTGCGTACGCCCTCGATATGAGTGTTTCTATGCATTGTCCCCGATGCTTGCTTTTGCCACCTCTACATGAAAATTTGTGGTCGCTTTCTTTGTCACATTAGTAATAATTTCATCTCTTTCCTCTTAATATTCTTTATAGTGGCTAATTTTTCATATTGCTGAAAATTCAATGCACATATTATGATCTAGACGAATAAACAAAACAAATTTTATTTTACTTAATTTTATTATTTATTTAACATATTTTTATGACGGTGGTCATGGTCAAAAGCAGATGGGCACTGCCTATTTTATACATAATACATTCAAAATTATAAGAGAGAGGATGTTGAATCCAAAGTACATGAGTCGGTTCAAATTCTAACCCTCATCCCACATACTAAAAAACCATTAACCCAACAACCTTAGCCCTGATCATAAAAAATAAAAAAGGACCATTTGGTACTACCATTTAAATGAAACACAACTCAGTTTAGAAGTCAAAAAAGAACAAAGATGAAGGATGAATTTACTTTGTTACCTTCTTTTCCGATAAGAAAAGTTCATGTAGATAAGGAGAAAGTGAGATAACATAAGCACTTTGTTGGTGTTCTATACAAGCCCAAATTACAAAATTAAGAAAAAGTGAAGGATATAGAGAAGATACATGGAAAAGAAGGAAAAAATAAAACCCCTAATCTCATATCTACCTATCTACCTGAAGCATACCGAAAATATATGATTCAAGGTCTAAATATACAAAATTTCATCTATGTACCAAATTTTCACAGTACCAAATAACAAAATCAAACCCACATAAGTAAAAATAACCTAAAATTGAGAAAAAAATCGTCAATAATAAGTAAGAATAAAAGCATTATTTTGTAAAATATCAAAACATCTACCATCGATAAAAAAAACAAGAACTTAACCTTGCCCTATTTACCTTAAAAAGTCGAAGTCCTTAGCGCAAGAAACTCTATTTGACCAAACTCTTCATATATACAGGTTTTGTTAGTTGCGATGAATGGTGGTGATGGTGGTTTGACTGAATTCTTCATCTTCAATCACGCTGAGATGAATGCCATTTTTTTGGAACCATTGATGTCTTCCTTCTCCCACTTCAATTTTTTAATACTACATTATTAAATGATTTTATAGAGGAAAGGGATTTGAATGAGTTTCCCATATTTTAAGCAAAAAGTTGGGAAAATGGTGATCTGAATTAGTCTTCATATGAATGACACGTTCTTATCTATTAGTCTTCATATTGAATGACTATGTTCTTATCTATTTTTGTTAACCAAATAAGATTTCAATGCATAAAATGGTTGTATATGTTGCAATAAATCTTGTACCTCTTAAAATCCAGCTTTTTACCAAATTAATAAGAAGTATATATATATATATATATATATATATATATATATATATATATAGTTATAAATTTGATGTAATTAAAAGTAAAAC